TTGTCTTTCTCTCTCACCATAGCCAATGACTGTCTCTGATCTTCGACAGATCTCTCGGCTATGGTGAGAGAGAAAGACAAGTGGGCTGCTGTCTGGGAGGTTGTTGGATTGGGGTATACAGTGAACGGGAATGGTCTGGCGAAGACAGTCGCAGCATGAGATCGGAGATATGCAGATACACCACCATGGCAGGCTCCACTCCGACGTGCATGCACACAAGGTCGATGAGAAACGCGAAGTCCAAATCACTCACTGTCACAACAAGAAACCGTTTACTCATCGACTTCCCAGAGTACAACCGAAGCCCCACCACGYGGTGGCCGAYCCTCAACGCTTTCTGTCTACCCCGCACGCASACTCTTCAGGAGGAGGAGGAAACGAAAGAAGTCGACTTTTCAACGGGCCTACCTTCTTCCGCCGAATACAATGCACGGTCATTATAGCTGTATGTATTGGGGGTATCTTTCAGTCTATCTTTCAGTCTAAGTACAACTGTAATGACCGTACGTTGTATTCGGGGGAAAGCAGGTTAGCTCAGTTGGTTTGGTACACCCCTGAACTGCACTGTTGAAATGTACAGACCGGAGTTTGTACTCCACTGGAGCAATGAGATGAACACAGAACATAACAGGACATAACAGAACATAACAGAACATAACATAACAGAACATAACAGAACATAACAGAACGTAACGTAACGTAACATAACATAACATAACATAACATAACATAACATAACATAACATAACATAACAGACTCTGATTCTGAATTACCTGGGGCTGGTCAGTTGGATGATGATATCTCAACGCCATGGCGCTGGTCTGTCACGCCAGAAGTCACGGGTTCAACTCCCGTTTTTCCTGGGAGTTCCCAGGAGGTATGACCGAGTGGCTGAAGGCATTTTGGTTAATAGAAAGAAAGAAAGAAAAAAAGAAAGAAAGCAAGAAAGAAAGAAAGAAAGAAAGAAAGAAAGAAAGAAAGAAGAAAAAAGAGGAAAGAAGAAAGAAGAAAGAAGGAGATGTAATCCCATGGAAGATTGTGGAGGAGCACTAGTTGGGAGGATGCGTCCTGCGGAGAGCTGGGAAGGGAGCTAYGAGTACTATGTTGGAGTTGAAGGGGGTGCTATGGAAGTGCTGTGTATCTGCTATAGGCGGAGGTTCGTTCATTCATGGGTGGTGTGGAAATRGTACGCGTGTCTACTATGTTGAAGCTCGTGGGTGGTAGGGTAAAATGCTATGTGTATTCACTATGTTGCAGTCTGTGGGTGCTATGCACATGGTATGTGTCCCTCCGAGCTTGGGAGTTTGCTGGGAAGTACGATGAGTGAGGTTCGTCTGTGCTATTCAAATGCTATGTGTGTTTTTAAGGGTGCTAGGGAAATGGTATGCGTTGTTTTTCACAGTGTTGGGGTCTGTGTGTGCTATGTACATGCTATGTGGGTGCTATGTACATGCTATGTGGGTGCTATGTACATGCTGTTGGAAGTACGATGAAGTTCGTCGGTGCTATTCAAATGCTATGCTATGTGTGTTTACTATGTTGAAGTTCATGGGTGCTGTGTAAAATGCTATGTGTATTCACTATGTTGCAGTCTGTGGGTGCTATGCACATGGCATGTGTCCCTCCGAGCTTGGGAGTTTGCTGGGAAGTACGATGAGTGAGGTTCGTCTGTGCTATTCAAATGCTATGTGTGTTTTTGCTATGTTGAAGTTCATGTGTGCTTTGTAAATTCTGTGTGTATTTACTGTGTTGGAGTCTGTGGGTGCTATGTACATGCTATGCGAAGTACGATGAAGTTCGTCGGTGCTATTCAAATGCTATGTCTGTTTCCTCGAGAGCACGATTCGTTTAATTTCAGCGATTTGGATTGGAGCTTGCAATGAAACCTGTTTGTTGCTGTTGACTTT